GTGTTAAACTAATATCTTGCTATCCTTGGCTAGTGTTTTGCTGCTTTTTACCTTTAACTAGCCTCTTGCTACTTTTAGCTAATCCTTTGATTTTTCAGCTTCCAGCTTTTTTTTCCCTTTAAGCTAGTGTTTTGTTACTTTTGGCTARCCTTTTGCTGATTTCAGTTAGCATTTAGCAGGTTTCATCTTCTAACTAGCCTCTTGCTACATTTAGCTAATTATTTGCTTTTTTGAACTTTAGTTTTTGAACTTCTTTTAGCTAATGTTTTGCTGATTTTAGCTAGCATTTAGCTGCTTTTAGCTTTAAATTTGCCGCTTTTAACTTCTGGCCTTTAATTAGCCTCTTGCTACTAATGGCTAACCATTTGCTTTTTAAATTTTAACTAGTTTTGTGCTCCTTTTAAATAGCGTTTTGCTGCTTTTAGTTTTGAACTCCTCTTTGGCTACTTTTGGGCTTCAACTAGCCTTTTTTGCCACTTTTAGCTAAGCCTTTGCTTTTTAACTTGTAACTAGTTTTAGCTCCTTTTAKTTAGTGTTGTGCTACGTTTGGCTAGCGTTTTGCACCGTCCTGCATTCTAAATCCTTACTTAATAGTTTATTTTTATTTTAAAGCCATCTCATTTACCCACCAGAAAGCTGAACAACAGTTTGGACCCTCAGCTGCAGCGAGCACTTCTGCTTCCCCTCGCACCTCATGACGGTGGAGACGCTGACGTTGTGGAAGACGGAGGAGTTGAGACCTTCGGTCGGGTTCTGGCAGGCAGGAGGAAACCAATCTGTCCGAGGAAAAGACGAGGACAAGATGCTTCAGATCGAGAAGAACAAAACTAAATTGTAAACGCTTTTGGAACATAATGTCAAACAATCAGACTCATATTTTTTTTAAAAAGAAGCTTTTAAAATAGGGAAGAAATTGTTTTCACCTTGAGAAATTAAAACAGCTTTTCTTCTCACGGTGTTGAAATAAAACAATTCCATAAATATTATTTGTAGCTTTGAGGCCGATCTACGACCTCGAGGGCTGCTATCCTGCATGTTTCAGATGTCACCTTCAACACGTCTCTGATCTTTAAACCAGGTGTGTCAAGGCAGAGAAACGTGTAAAACATGGACACCATTGTTCTTAAGCACTGATATGTGTTATCACTAATGCTTTTTTAGGCAAGGTCTGCATWAAAGCCAGTTACACCCTAAAAGTTTCTAATACTTTCAACAGGTGTCATGACTWTTAAATGTTAATTATGTTTTCTTAGCGCTTAAAGCAACATGAAGTTCTTTATGTGGTTGTAAAATTAGCTTTTAATGTAGTTCCTCAGCATGGCAGTGACATAAAAAAGAGATTACTGCAAATAACAGTGGATGTGTTGAAAGTGCGGAACTTGTTTTGCTAGTTGTGAAAGCGCTGCAGCAGCGTGCGATCATGCTTACAGTGTGGTTTGGTTTTGCAGTGCAGTCCCTGCAGGAAGAAAAAAAAAACAAAACAAATTTGTTAAAATTTCTAGTGGGGAGGGGGGGTTCTTTTTACAGCTTTAGCATTGGGTACAAAGGTAGCTGACTCAGGAGGAGGAAAAGAGTTTTCGACATCCTTATTGCTCTTTAAACCCAAGGAAAAATATTGTGCAACATGTGGTGCTCAAAACATTACAGGCACAAGCCGTCACACCCAATTTTTAGCTGAATTGTGTAAAACTTTTCTCAAATATCCCTATTTTAGTGTTTTTATAGCTGTAGTAACCATCTTTAACCCATCCTTAAAATTCATCTAGTGAGATATTTTGCTAACAGAGTTATAAACGTAAGACCTCATGCTCAGAATATATCTTGCAGAAGACACTCGGCTATTACCACGCCGAATTTTAGCTCAATATTAATAAACTGCGCAGACTTTTAGCCATTTTTGCTAAATTAGCTTAGCTGTGGTAGCCATAATGAATGGAGTTTCAGTCAAAAGTTAACTTAATGTGTTTCTGAGAATCTCATAATCTGTCCACTGGTCCATGATGTAGTGTTGCTAACAGGCAAAAATATCACCACCTTTTACCTTCRGCAGCAAGTGACAACAATATAAACAAGTGGGCGTGGCTTGATATATTACGTTTCTATTTGTGAGTTATTAATGCAACGTCCCCCCTTTTAAAAAAAAGGTTATCGTCAGCCTTTTTCCTCACTGAGATGCACGAACTGCACGTTTCACTGCATCCGTCACATTGTTCTGGGCTCGTTTCCAAAATAACCTGCAGCCAGAAATGATGTGATGTGGATAATATTCAATAGAATTTCACCGCCGTCGCTGACTGATGTTTGCAGCTGTCAAAATGATGCAGTCGGACGTTGCTGTCGTTTGCACAATAAAAGAAACAGACTTTTATTGTGAAAAAAAAAAGCTTTGGGTTTAACTTTTTTTCTGCGATTTTTCAAGCTGGAGGTTGAAATATTTGCATTAAATTTGATTAAAAATAATAAGCAAGTGATCAAACTTGGGTTATGKGCAGGGAAATGTTGGTCAACAATAAAAAAAAACAGATAAAAATCTTCAGGTAGATTGTGCGTTTGGTTTAGTCTGGATGTGTCGGCGCGATTTGTGGTTCGAAAACGTGCAAAAAAACATCGTGGCTATAAATCTCTCATGTATGCGGAAACTTTAGAAAATGTATTGCTTTTTTTCCCCCAAATCTATTTGATAGGAGGTCCCCAGATGGTAAAAACGCTTGAATTTAAACTGCTGCCTGTTACACCAACAGCCTCACAATGGAATTAAAATGTTATCCTCTGATATTTTTGTGCAGCTGTGATAAAAATGTATCTTTGACACATTTRATTTGAGGGAGAGCGGTTTGTTTCCTTCTACATCAGAACAAAAGCTCATCAGATGATTTGCCGCTCTTATTCTTATTGGAATACCTTCATGACTCACTGCGTGAGTCATCCAGCGTCAGACGTCAACTTTACAACTCTGCTTTCACTCCTGCTCACCTTAAAAGATCATCACAGKTTTATCTTAAAGCCCAGGTTTCATAGAAGCAAGTATCGAAAGTACAACTGATGTATAAGTACACTTAAAACTGAGCCCAGAATAAAACAAACTGCAGAAGAATTAGTAAGTGAAAACACTTAAAAGCTGTAAGAGTTAATAATTACAGGACACAGATGTGTTTAAAAGCTCAATCTTTTTTATAGGAGGATGAGTTTTACCTGAGAACATCTCGTGTGGCAGCCCTCAGTCCTCTCCAGTTCTGTGCTTTCTGCTGCAGCTCCGTTCAAGCTGCCGTAAGACACGAGCAGGACGAGCCCGAGGATCATTTTCACCGCCCAGCACAAGATTTCTGCTCCTCCAAACTCTTTCCTCCACTTCCTATCTGCCAAGCGGAGATGCAGGTCAGGTTGAATCTTCTGTGATGGTTTCCTGCAAGCACAACAAAGTGACTGCAAGCTGCTAAACAGATGCTATTTATAAAGAGAGGCGGGGTTTGTAGTGCAGTCAGGAAAAAAAAAAAAAAAAGCAAGGACCTTTCCCTATTTGGGATGGTAGGCTTCAAAAACGCAAGTCACCCAACACATCATCTAAATCTACATGATCAGTGTACTATTTCTGAAACTTGTTTCACAATGTAGGAGCATTTCCTGGGCTTGTCACTAAAACAATAAAAAACTTTGGCAGAAAATCTCATGACAAGATCGATTTCAATCACATTGTTTCTTTATTATTGTTAGAATATTGTAAWCAAGTCTGCAAACCTTTCCACGCAGAAAAAAAAAACAATAACTACAATAAAAAGTTAGTTTAGAAAGTTGGAGTCAGAGCCCCACTGTGGGTCATGAAAATTAAATCAAATTAAATGTAAACACATCGCTAGAACGGCTACAATTATTACAAAATATAAATACAACAATCATCAATTAAAAAAAATGTGAGTTTAACACCCACTCCAATCAAATAATGAAAGAAAATTTGAATAATTACCAGCTGAAAACACCTATTTTAATTTTAATTTAGCCTATATGCATATATTTAAAGAAACATCTAGATCTCTGTAGAAACGATGTGAGTTAAGGGTTAATAAAAAACGTGTCTGCATGAACTGTTATGTTGTTTAGGACGGCAGCAACCTGCTGTGTTCCTGTTCAAACTGGGTGTTAGCTCTGTAGTCTGGTCACTGTTTCTCCAAACTGAAGCTATTTAAAGAGGTGTGTCCGGAAMAGGTGACATGTTCATTCTTCATGACCTTTTCATTTCAGATCTGAACTGTCACTTTTTAACTCAGAYGGGTTTTTATTGTCTGTTTCTCTCTTTTTTTAGGACACTTTCAGCTTCTAAAGGTCAGACAAGCAGCTTCTGACATTTAACTCCCTGATACTTTTCCAAAATGAACTTCCTCTTGGCAGTTTGTACTACTGCTTTTTAAGAAAAATAATTAAGCTTACTGGTGTCGGCTATCTCCTTATACAACCRCTTTGTCACACATGATTGCACACCGTTGCATCGTCTGCAATTACGTGATTGAAAGAAGATAAAACTAATTTATTTATTCATTTAAACCTATGTGGGAACAAAAATAACTGAAGATCTCCTTTTTTTTTCCTGCTTCTGTACTTTATTATTGCAAAATCTCTATTTCCCCATCATTGACTTAAACTGTTTCAGAGAAGACTCACAAATTAAAGTATTGCTCATACAACCTTAATTCTGAGAAGGAAGGAAACATAAATAAGCTGCAGTTTACGAACACTTCCAGGTTAGTTTCGGGTCACACGACCTCAGTCACTTTCTCAGTGTTTGTGTTCATCGTTGTCATATTTTAGGCAATAAAATCAAAAAAGAAACATTACATGTGAGTAGAAACAAACAACTAGTTATTGTTTGTACTAAAGGAACTGTGGAATAAATAATAAGATGTGATCCAGGCACGTAGCTGATAATAGGGAATAATGGTGACCAAACTCTGCCTTGCAAAAATATTAATAATAATAATAATCTAATGAAAAGCTACTAACAGTTGAACATGCAGAAGAAAACAATGAGTAACTGTCAGAGAACCTGTTTTTCAGATTAATTTCTTGTATTTCCTGCTCCATCATTGTCCTCGATGTTTTGGCTCCATCTACTGGAGTTCACTGGCATTAGTACTTTTATCTCCTCTTCTGCACGTTTCCTCAGGTTGTACCAGTTCTTAACCCATACTGGTCCAGATTTACCCCTCATCAGTCAATTATCTTAATTTTTTTTATTTTTAGATCAGACTCTCTAACTGAGACACTTATGATTTAATAAACTGTGTGCTGCAGAGGCAACAGATTACAGCAAAGAATGGGAAAAGTTTAGATTCTAATCATTACATTTGACCAAAAATTAAAAAAATTAGRGCKGTCAGATGATTAAAATTTTTAATCTATTAATTCCAAGGTAGTTGTGAATTAATCACGATTAATCACAATTAATCTTAAACTTAATATAAAACTTTATTGCATATTGGTAAAATAAATTACTTGAGTTATTGTACTACACGAGGAATCAAAGATAGATACTAAGGTCACAGTTGTCAGCAAAACACAAATAAATAAAATAAAATAAGAAGACAAAACGAAATAAAAACTGTACATAATGTGTTACACATGGAGTTTTTTATATTACTTATTTAACCTTTATTTATCCAGGTAAACTGTTTGAGAACCACGTCTCATTTACAAACATGACCTGGCATGCACTGAGTGCATCGCAATATACAAACCTACATATTCAGCCATAGTAAAGTGATTGTAAATTTTATTTGCAATTAAAATTTTTAATCTATGCCCATGCAACACTAAAATTAATCAGAGTTAACTCGATTTAATTTCACAGTCCTAAAAAAAATCAAAATCGACAAAATACCTGAATAGATTCAAAATGACAACTTATTATCTTAAAATCTTTATATGCTGTCTAAAATAAGTTCTAATTTCAAAATTATAATTAATATCTTGACATAATACCTCATTATTTGTGGTTCTGCATCCTTAAGATGGGTTTATTGGTTCACCTATGAAATGTGGATTGTGACCAAAAGAAAAAAATCTCATTTGTATTTAAACAGAAGAGCGGGAATGAAAGAGGTTTTTTTTTCTTCCTGAGCCTAAGCACCAAGCTGAAATACTTGAACAAAATGGTCAGGTTCATACTTGTGTTCCATGAAACAAAAACCTGCAAACTGTTCCTCTCACATCAACGGTTAATCCTTAAATTATGTTTAAAACCACATGYATTTGTTTACATATGGAAACAGCCGAAGGATGGCGATGTCCAGAAATGTTTTTGTTTGGTTCCACTTTACAGATTTTGGAGACATACTGTATGGGTCAGTGGTCTTCAGATCTGGTTCTCAAAGGCTACTATCCTGCATGTTTTAGATATTTTCCTGCTTCAYCACGTCTGATTGAACTGAACGAGTGGTTAACATCCTCCTGCAGAACTTAAGACCAGTTAAAGAGCAGGTAAACGACTAAAACACGCAGGATAGTTAAAACAGTAGCAGATAATTAATGGCAATGAAAGGTAATAACTACAGGACACAGATGTGTTTAAAAGCTCAATCTTTTTTCTACGAGGGTGAGTTTTACCTGAGAACATCTCGTGTGGCAGCCCTCAGTCCTCTCCAGTTCTGTGCTTTCTGCTGCAGCTCCGTTCAAGCTGCCGTAAGACACGAGCAGGACGAGCCCGAGGRTCATTTTCACCGTCCAGCACAAGATTTCTGCTCCTTTTAAGTCTTTCCTTTCTACGAACCAGAGATGCAGGTCAGTTTGAATATTCTGTGAAGAATCCCTGCAAGCACAAAAAAGTGTCTGTCAGCTAACGAACAGTTATAAATGCTATTTGTAAAAGAGGCGGAGTTTGTAGCAAAGTCAGGAAAAAGGGGCCTTTCCCTAAAGGCTTCAAAGATGCAAGTCACCCAACACATCCTCTAATCCAGTGTTTCCCAAAGTTGGGGTCGGGACCCAAAGTGGGGTCCCGAAACATCAAGGTGGGGTCCTGAAAAAAACTTTCTGAATTAATTACATTTTTGCCTTAGTTGTTACAAAGGAGTGAGGTTAGTATATTTAAAATGGATAAATGTAGTATAAAAATATTTTTACAATGCCCATGTTTTGTTGACCTGATACAAATGTTTATCATCCAAAAATAGTTTTGGGCACAGGTCTCTGATACTGTTTTGTATTACTTTGTGGGTCAAAAGCTGAAAAGTTTGGGAACCACTGCACTTTGGTTCCCAAAGTTGGGCTTGGGACCCAATTATGGGTCATGAAGCACCTTGGATAATCTCCAGAGATCAATTTAAAGGGTAATAAAATAATTGATGATGTAATATTTTCCCTATAATTATTACAAAAAACACAAAATAAGTAAAAATAAGTATTTATATTTGTGTACAAGCTGTTTAGATTGTCAAAAAGCCTGTGTTTTTAGGGTTATTAACGAAGCTTGTGTACTCAGACCAGTAATATTTGGGGTCACAAGTTTTTGCCATGGATATTTTGTGGGTCAGAAGACAAAAAGTTTGGGAACCACTGCTCTAATCTACATAATCAGTGTACTAATCTGACACTTAGTTTACAATACAGGAACATTTAATGGACTCATCACTGACAAACAATATAAAAAAGTTGCCTGAAAAACTGCAGAAGGTCTCATGACAAGATTGAATTCAATCTCTATTATTATTGTTATGTTAGGATCAAGTCTGCAAACCTTTCCATAGAGGCAGCAGGTAGATTTGAACCATCACATCATGTTAATAAAAATGTGTTTGCATGAACTGTTCTGTTGTTTAGGATGGCAGCAATCCGATTTGTTCCTGCTGAAACTGGACGTCTGGTCAGAATCAAACTGTTTCTCCAAACTGAGTTTATTTAAAGAGGTGTCCGGAACAACATCACAGCGTCACTTTTTAACTCTGATATTGGTTTTTTTTTTTTACTTCTCTCAATTTTTAGGACACTTTCAGCTTCTAAAGGTCAGACAAGCAGCTTCTGACATTTAACTCCCTGACATTTTCCCAAAAATAACTTCCTCTTCGCAATTTGTACTACTGCTTTTCAAGACAAATAATTAACTTTATTGGCGTCGTGTCGGCTTTTAATCTCCTTACAAACCACTTTGTCACACATTTGCGCACCGTTACAACATCTACAATTGTATGGTACAATTTTTCTTACTAACTAAATATATTTGGAATCAAAAGTATCGACTTGCTGTCAAAAACTACTTGATTAGGACACAGAACTTGGGTTCTGCCGGCTGTGTGAAAGCTGCTCTCTCAGATTTAAAGTGTTGTCCTAATGTGAAAACTTCCATTGTTATTTTAGTGAATTGTCCTGCATTTACTGTGGAATTACTGGGTTTTTGTTTACTACAATGACATAAACAAGACTGTCAAAACACAAAGTAAAAAAAAGCTTCCACTCTGGATTTCTTGTGCTCACTATATGTTAAATAAAGTAAAGTGTAATTGTGTAATTATCTACTGGTTTGCAATAAAATGCACCAAACTATTGACACAGTCAGTGCATAAGGTTTTAATGAAGTGAGGTGATTTCTGGATGATGTATTACTTAATAAACCCATTGTTAAAAAAAACTAACAAAATAAATAAAAACTCTGAAAACTGTTCTGAGTCAAGACCCACCAAGCAAGTCCACACTGCAGCTGAACATCTCCATCAGCACCTGCACATTAGACTGAAACATGCTAACACTGTTAGCTCGTCCGTTTGCCATAACATAACCAAAATGCTACCTTGTCCATTTGACTGTCGTTTGAATAGTCGCACTCTTCACCACCAGGTTCACACAAAACAAATAAAAAACATGTACATGAAAAGGACGAGAAAGCATAAAAGCATCAGTATTTAAGCTAACGCTAGCCATTGCTCGGTTTAGCGCATGCGCAGAAGTGACGTCACGTTTCATCCACTTTGGGCTGATGAGAGTTATATAAAACAGCAGTTTTGCTGATTATTATATGAAATGACAACACTTAGTCTAACGCCTAATACAAACTGCATTTTATGCAACGTAGAATAATTTATTCTGTGGACGCCTGTTAGCTTGGAACAGAGAGTGATGCAGGGATGAGTCACGTGATCCATTAATCTTCGGCGTATTTCCGCGTTCACGAGTCAATCCGGAGATGTACCAGCAGCACGGATGCTGTTTCCATCCTCCGCCGTCACTGGACACCGCCTGCTCTGAGTCAATGAAACCCTAAACCCTCCATCCTCCGCCGCTTCTCGTCCCTCCGTCCAGCCTTCCGTCGAGGCAGCCCCGCGCCGCGGCCGAGGCGGCGAGCTGGGGGGGAACCCGGGGAAGGGCAGCCGCGGCGCAGCGACGCACCGGCCGACGGACACGCCGCCGCGGCGCGCCAACCACAACAACAACAACATGCTCACCCGGGTCAAGTCGGCCGTGGCCGGGTTCGTGGGCGGGATAATGACCGGGGGCGGCTCGGGGGCAGGAGGGGGCGGGAGTTCTGGCTCGGATTTGCCGCTGAAATTCCCGTATATGAGACCGGAGTTCCTGGGTCTGTCCCCGGACGAGATCGAGTGCTCGGCGGACCACGTAGCTCGGCCCATCCTCATCTTAAAGGAAACCAGGAGATTACCGTGGGCCACCGGATACGCTGAGTAAGTCACTGGACGTCCCCGTTTCACGTATGTAGGCCCGACTGCACCTGTTGTGACCTACATCCACCTGCAGCGTCTTTTTCTGCAGAAAAGCCTGCAGACATGCACGAGTTCTGCTGACGGATCGCAGCATTTCAAGCTCAAACTGGTTTTAAAAGTGCAAAAGGATGATGCACCTTCCTCCAGCAGAGTGGGGAATTAGTCTCCACTTAAGCCTAAAGCAGGAACTGATTGCCACTCAGTTCAGCACATTCAAACCATTTCTTTGGTTTTTACTGCAGACTGCTGATTTTAAAGCTTCTGTTTTTTTTTATCTGTACCATCCACCATCTGTGCTCTACTTGTGAAACAAATCTGCACAACAGCTGCACGCGTGCTCCCAGGAAGCTCTTATAAAGGCTTAGGGACAAGACAAAAAAAAGATGCACAAATTCTCCAAGCCACTATTTATGAGCCTATTAAAAACACTCATAAACGTTTTCAGCTATTTGCTGCAAAAGTCTGATTCTTACTGAGGCTGCAATTGTGAAAACACACACATTTTCACTACTTCACATAACTGTTGCACGACATTGTCATGACAAAATTACAAAATTTTGACACTTGCAATATCATTTAAGGTCGTATCTCACTGGAAAAGTGATGCGACTGTGACGAGTTTGCAAAAGCGTCTCTAAGATGACTGAAATGTTTGCAGAGAGACAGAGGCAGAACTCCTCAATCTTGTCGCTTGAATTTTGAACACGTTTAAAAGATTTGGAGCAAAAGATGGCTCAAAAAAGTCCCAGAGTTGTTGCAGGCATCTCCAACACGTCTCAAGAGCGCTAGAGCTGTATTTTAACACGTTTCTGACAAAAGTAATGAAAAAAAATTAAATATCTATTGAAGTATCAATCTTCAAAAGCTCTAACAATTTGAAATAAGTTTTCTTGCCATAATCTAACAATTTGAAGTAAGTTTGCTTGCCATAATATGTCTAAAGTTTCCAGAACTTTCTTGTACTTTGTTTTATTTTGATGGAAAAACTTCCTTTTAAGTTGGGGGGAAAGAAGAAAATCCCACCTCTTAATAAACCCTTTTACTCTTGTGGTTCATGATCACCACCTCCTCCTTTTTTTAATTTTCGCATTAATCGCACGCCGCCGCCCCGAGCAGCGATTGAAGCATCTCTAGTGGATTGTTGTCGGTAATGAGTTTGACTCAGATCAGCGTTTATGTGTAATTAAAGCTTCCTGTGTTCTCATTACATCAACCATTCTGCCTCCTGCAGACATGAGCTTTTATTATCATCATAATAAAGAAAAATCAAAGTCAGATTTGGTCAATGTCACTATATTGGTATTTTAAAAATGTCCACGCAATAATTCAGTCATATCACAAAGCCAAAATTTTTTTTCACCTATGTGGGTTGAGAATTAGGGGTGTAAGAAAATATCGATACACTGAAATATCGCGATATTTCATTTCCCGATACTGTATCGATATTCTAAAGCCCTGTATCGATTTTTTATTAAAGTTTAAAATGTCAACTTTCCTGCCAGCTGTTCATTTTATGTTGTAGTTCAGCCTCTGACCACTAGTTGGCAGCAGTGAGCCAGACATTTGGCTCCTCTACCTCTTGAGGTAGAGGCCATTGTTAAGTGGTGACCATATTGTAAATTAATATTAAAAACTAAAAGCTGCAAAAAATATTTTCAAACTATTTATTGTCAAATTTAGTCTAATAATTGAAAACATGGATGAAATAAGAAATATGAAACAAATAAAATAAAATACATACAAAGCAGAACACAGCTAAATGTATCAAAAGCATGTCTCTGTAATATTAGAATTTTCTGAGACAATGAATTTTGGTTTTTCATTTTTTTCCCCTGTAAGAGGTTTTTATTTGATAGAATTTTTGGACAAAAAAAATCGCAATATATCGCCTTGCTTATAGTATCGCAATATATCAGCATATATCGAATCGTGCCCCCTCTGTCATGATATGTATCGTATCGCCAAATTCTTGCCAATACACAGCCCTATTGAGAATTAGCATTAATGCTACACAACATTATTGTTTATCATTGCGATGACTGACATCACAACACTTGGGTGGTATTCAGTATTTGTAGCTTTAGAATTTCAGCTATGTTCTTCTGGTGTAGGTAGGATAGTGTGGAGTCATTTGGTTGTAAAATATATTACTGGCGTTGGTTTGGTTTTGCAATTTTTTGCAATACTTTGAGATATTAAAATTGCACTTATTCAATAGAAACTGAGTACAAAAAGTAAGAAAATCTGCGTTTGGTAGATTATTTCTTTGTTGTAACAATGTTGGAAAATCTATTCATTTCCCTTTTAAATGGTGCCACATTTGTAAGGAACGTGCATCTCAAACAGCTTATTTTGCTGTTGTTTTTGACCCCCAGGTGCTTCCAATCAGGTGTCTGGTAAAAGATTGTTACAACAAAGTAATAATTAGGGGTGTAAGAAAATATTGATACACTGAAATATCGCAGTATTTAAAAAATATTCAAAAAGTATTCAAACCGAAGTCTCTTGGAGAAGAGACGAAACGTTTCATTAGAGAAGAACCCGTCCAGAAGACCTATACAATTTTTTTCTTTTTGATCGCAATATTTCATTTCCCGATACTGTATCGATATTCTAAAGCCCTGTATCGATTTTTAATTAAGTCTTAAAATGTCAACCTTCTTGCCAACCGTTCATTTTTACGTTGTAGTTCAGCCTCTGACCACTAGTTGGCAGCAGTGAGCCAGCCATTTGGCTCCTCTACCTCTTGAGCGCCAGAGAGTAAGGGTAGCATTAGCCTTGTAAGTAAACATTAGCTTTTTTTTTTTCTTCAGTAAGAGGTTTTTATTTAATAGCATTTTTGGACAAAAAAATCGCAATAGCCTTGCTTACAGTATCCCAATATATCGGGATATATTGTATCATGACCCCTCTGTTATGATATGTATCGTATTGCCAAATTCTTACCAATACACAGCCCTAGTAATAATCTAACTGTGCTGAGTTTAGTTTTTTGGCAGCTTTAGCAGTTACTGAGCTCTTTACTGGTCGGCCTATGTTTCTACGCCCACCTAGGGTAGCAAATTTTGGGTACTGACACAGATACAGGCACTCAGAATGATGTTCCACCACAGTGTAGCTGCGTTCTCCCTTATATGAAGATAAATTTGGTTAAATGCTTACAGCTAGATGTATGGGGCTAACCTAAGAAAACTTTAATTTGACTAAATATTTAACTCCGTTCAGTGAAGGTAGGTGGAACAAACCATTGGGCCTCATGCAAGAACATGTTCGTATTCTTATCCTTAATTTCTCTTACTTTTGTTCGTACGAAGGGTTCGTACGAACATCTCACGTCAGATTCAACAAACTCTTCTATCTTCGGGAAAAGTGTGTAAATGAGCTGCATGAACACGATGAATTACACCTGTTCATATCCAGCTGCTCGTGCACGTAGAGAGGAGATTAACATAATTACTATCCCAAAAACACCATATAAGGCTACGTTTCCTGCCTCAGATATGAGGAAGTGTCCATTCATGAAAATGACAGTAAAAAGTAAAGAGAAGAACTTTACGAGTTCGGAGATTGAAGTCCTGCTCTCCAAGATCGAGTAAAGAAAATCTGTCATTTTTAGCAGCATCAGCTGTGGAATTAAAGGAGCTGCTTAAAGGAATGAAATGTGCTGTTAATGTCGTGTCTCCTGTGGGTCGTTACAGTCACAGAAATAAAAATCTAAATCATATTCATCTCTCTCTAGTCCTACTCTGGTTTTCCTTTGGTCAAATATTTTTAATTCAAGTGTAAAGAACTGTGTTACATAGTTTTCATTTATTCAGAAGAAGAGCAGTCACGCACCACTACCCCCCACCCCCAAATCCCCCCCGCCGCAAGTGTCGGATGCGTTTCTGAAAAAAAAAGAACATTTTAAAATGTTTCAAAACTTCAATTAACTTCACATTAATATTGTAGTGTTATACAACAGCATTAATAGCCAATGTAATTTAATTTAACCATTTTATGTCGTTAGTCTTTTTTCTTTTTAATTGTTTTAATGTCTGTTCGAAATCAGTGGTTCCCAAACTTTTTATCTTCTGACCCACAAAATATCCATGGCAAAAACTTGTGACCCCAAATATTACTGGTCTGAGTACACAAACTTTGTTAACAACCCTAAAAACACAGACTTTTTTGACAATCTAAACAGCTTGTACACAAATATAAATACTTGTTTATACTTTTTTTGTGGTTTTATAATAATTTTAAGGAAAATATTACATCATCAATTATTTTGTTACCCTTTAAACTGATTGATTTCTGGAGATTATCCAAGGTGCTTCATGACCCATAATTGGGTCCCAAGCCCAACTTTGGGAACCAAAGTTCAGTGGTTCCCAAACTTTTCAGCTTTTGACCCACAAAATAACCATGGCAAAAGCTTGTGACCCCAAATATTACTGGTCTGAGTACACAAACTTTGTTAAGAACCCTAAAAACACAAGATTTTTAACGATGTAAAGAAATACTTATTTATAATTTTTTGT